CCCAGAGCCTTCCCCCCACGTCCCTGCCAGCCCTCCGTCCCCACCCCGCCCCCGGCCCACTCTGCCCTCCGACCCGGCGAGGCCTGCCCCTTCTCGGGACACCCCCGGAGCCCTCAGGCGGACGGGTTCAGGCCCCCGGGCCGGCAGGGCTGGGGCCGGCCCAGAGCTGACGGCCCGTGTGCCGAGGCTGCCGGAGCCGGTCCTCGCCTCGGCGCCCGCGGAGAGCAGGGGGCGGCGGCTACCCGTACCTGTCAGGCCTCTTCCCAGGACCGGTGGCGGCGCAACTTCAGGAGCCCATGTCCGTCCGGCGGGCCCGGCCCCTCTCCCCGGAGCGGGGGCGCGGATCCCGGGGAGGGGGCTGGGGGGCCCGAGCAGCTCTAGCCCCTTCCCATGCTCCCCGCCTGGCGCCTGGCCGGGGCCGGACAGCGCCTCCGCCCGCCCCTGCGCACCGCCTCACACCCGCGCTCACACACACTCACACTCCCTCGCGCGCTCTCACACACGCACTCCCCTCCCTCCTCCTCCTCTGTTTATCTCCTCCAGCTGTCTGGGGACCCAGGAGAAGCCCAGCACAGCGCCTGCGCCACGCAGTCTCCGCCCCCGCCCCGCGCCTCACAGCCAGCGGCTACGCTACAGAGACAGCGCCCGGCCGTTTCCAGAATGGCGATCAGGGGCCCCTCCACCCCCCGCTCCTGGTCAACGTCTGCTGCCGGCGGCGCCCACTAACCTGCTAGTTGGGGAGCCCCGCACGGCCGCGGCCAATCCGCTTCGCCGCTAGCCAGACCGGCAGCCAGTGGGCGGGCGGAAAAGCCGGGCTAAGCCTGGAGCAACCTGGGAGTCGTAGTTTTTCTTCGTCGAAGAGCTCCCGCAGCGCGGGCTCACCCCGCCCAGTTGCCATTAGTTACCCGGACGCACCATCCACCCTATATGCGCGTAAAATGCTCCCTCCTGTCGCTTCTGGGACACTCCCCTCACCCATTGACCCCAGAGCCCGACACAGTCTCCTACGAGCCTCCTCAAGACTCCCTCAGAGCCCCTTAATTGGGGGACTCTTCAGGCTGGGGCCCCAGGGTCACCCCAGAGCCAAGTCTCACCTTACTTCTTCCTGTTCTGGGGGGCTGCTGAAGTGGTACATTCCTCACTCTTGGCTCCCCGGCCTGAAGGAAGAGCATAAAAGGTAGTCAGTGTACACCAGGTGGCCTGGAGGGGAGCCAGCCACACACACACTCTGGGAACACTCAGTTTGTTGGGAGAAAGTTCCGTCTGAGACTGCTGGTCCCACCTCTGAAAAAGAGGGGCCGTTCCAGCCTTGTGGAGTCCGAAGTCTGATGCAGGAGACAATTCCTCTCTAAGGAAGTTCCCAAGGTCACAAGAGAGTCATCATGCCTAACTTCTGTAGGTAGAGACCAGGCTCCACCCATGAGGAGCCTTGAGTCAGAAAAGGAAGACACGGTCATCTTTTGAGAATGGAAACTTGCCGCTTACCCACAGGGTGTCATCTGTCAGATAATCATAATTTGCTTTTGTTAAGCGTGTACTTACTATGTCAGCACTGTACTGAGTACACTTCCTTAGATAGGTACTGTAAGATTACTATGTCTGTTTTTGCTGTAGAGGAAGCTGAGGCATAAAAGAGTTAAAAAGCAACTTGCCCAGGGTCACATAGCTGATAAGGAACCAATTTGAGATTCAAACCCACATCTGCCTTACTCTAGAGTCTGAGCTTTTTTTTTTTTTTGCGGTACGCGGGCCTCTCACTGTTGTGGCCTCTCCTGTTGCGGAGCGCAGGCTCCGGACGCGCAGGCTCAGTGGCCATGGCTCACGGGCCTAACCGCTCCGCGGCACGTGGGATCTTCCCAGACCGGGGCACAAACCCGTGTCCCCTACATCGGCAGGCAGACTCTCAACCACTGCACCACCAGGGAAGCCCTAGAGTCTGTGCTTTTGAACATTACCTGTCCCTCCAGTGAGAACCAGGCAGCACCTACCCTCAGGAAGAACTGTATACACATACTTAGCATTTATAGTGTTTGTCCCATGTTTATCACTCCATGAGTTGCTTGTTTTTTCCTGCTTCTGCTTACATCAAGAGTTAAATTAGTGGGACTTCCCTGGTGGCACAGTGGTTAAGAATCTGTCTGCCAGTGCAGGGGACACGGGCTCAATCCCTGGTCAGGGAAGATCCCATGTGCCGCGGAGCAACTAAGCCCGTGTGCCACAACTACTGAAGGTCATGCGCCTAGAGCCTGTGCTCCACAACAAGAGAAGCCACCGCAATGAGAAGCCCGTGCACCGCAACAAAGAGTGACCCCCACAGGCAGCAACGAAGACCCAATGCAGCCAAAAATAAGTAAGTAAATTTGTAAAGAAAACAAAACACAATCTTATTAAAAAAAAAAAAAAGAGTTGAATTAGTGTGTAAGCTCCCTAAGTGTGATTTCTCCCCATTTGGAGGAGTTAGGGCCTATACGTAAATTCAGCTTTGTGAAATGCTTTTCTCTGAAAAATGTTATGTTTTATTTCTCCTGATCTCTCTCCTACAGATATATGTTCCACCGAATTTAAAAAACTATAAACTTTGGGACTGGAAGAAAGCTTTGAGATCATCTATCCGTGGCTCCCCAGGTTCAGGCTGAAACACTGGGTCAATTCAACTGAATAATTGCTAACATTTATTGAACATTTACTATGGGAGATAAGTGCTTATCAGTGAATTAAGCAATACTCTCACAAATCACATAGCTAGTACAGTCGGGATTAAAACCCAGATTATTCGAATCCAGAATCCTCATTTTAAACCCTTGTTCTATGCTGGCAATATCACAGATGATCTTAGAAATACCGACAGGGGAGTGTGGTTGATGTTTCTGTGACTCTTAGCACAGTCTTTGGCACACGGCAGACACTTGGTAAATATTTGTTGTCAGAAAGAAATTTTGTTGGTAGAGAGTGGATGACAGCAAGAAGAAGAATGTTAATAATAGCTACATCTATTAGTTATTATTTTCTACAAGGAGCTCACTTGTTCTCTCATGTACTCTTTTTCTTTTCTACATCTATGAATATATATGCATATATGACATGTTTATATATTGCATATGTATACATGCATATACATATATCTATGTACACATATGTATAGCATACATGTATGTTTATACATATGCATTTTTCTGTGTACACACACATGTATGCATTCAAACACATACTAACTTACTTGATTCTCACCGCTACCTTATGAGATAAGTATTATTCTTACTCTCATTTTACATAGAAGAAACAGAGAATCACAAGGGGTTTAATTCAGAATGAGACTCCCTCCCAGCCATAGGTGTTTTCAGATCAGTTCAAGAGACAACTTGCTAACCATTAGAGCTGAGCTACTTGGGAAGTTTTGAGCTCTCTGTCTTTGGTAGTAGTCATATATAGGATGTATAATCATCTGTCCAGGACACTCTAGAAGAAATTATTGTATTATATAGATATTTAATTAAGGGACCAATTCTAATATTCTCTAATTTGGGTTTTGGAAATAGACAAAGATTATTCAAATAAGTCTTGTGGCAGTGAATGCAGCTTTTTTTTTTTTTCCTCTCCTAAAAGCATCAGATGATGCTCCAGCTGATCAGCTCTATAGAGGTACTCACTGACACCACTATTTTCACCTCCTGATTGGACTCCTGGACAAAAGGGGGTATATTCAAGCTGAAATTGAAGATGCTCATATTTTACAACCCAGCAACTTAACTTCTGATATTTTAGAGGAACTGTTGCCCATGTGCACAAGAAAACATGGGCAAGGGTATGTCTTCCAACTCTTGTCACAATACCAAAAAGAGTCAGAGCAACCCAACTGTCCTCTCTAGTGGAATGGATGGGTGAATTGGGGTTTGTTTGTACCTTGAAGGAGTACACAACCAATTCAGTGATTTACATGCTATCAAGATAGACAAATCTTAAAAACATAATAAGAAGTGGAAAGGGTTTCCCTGGTGGCGCAGTGGTTGAGAGTCCGCCTGCCGATGCAGGGGACGCGGG